CCACCTGTTACGTATGTCACCTGGCCAACCAGCCTCGAGAGCCTACAACACCAAGCACTCAGGCTATAAAGGAAGAGGAGGGCCAAGCAAAAGGTGGATCGAGGTTGTCAAGGAAATCCCGAGGAAACATAATATCACAACTGAAAGATCTGTGGAGCTGGTCTACCATAGAAAACTACATGTCTCCATGACGCTTAACAGCTGAAAAAGGATGAAAAAGTAAAAGTAAGTAAAGTAACGTCGCTGTCCCTGTTCACTCTCAACCGAGAGCCAAAATGGCCACCGACACAAAAGACCCCACAATGTAAGCGACAGACAGCTGATCTTGCGGACGCGACCTCTGTGTTTACAAAACGCTGCCCTCCCCCCACCCCCCCCCCCCCTTTTCACTTCACACTCCCAAACAAATTTTAAACATTTTATATTATATTATTAACAATTTTTGGGGGTCTAAAATTCAAGCAGTGCTCTCCCTACTACTCTGCTTTTTAAACATTTTTCTATCGGCTACTCGAACTTGGTGGACTGAGTCAAGTGAGTCAAGAAAAAGTATTTACCTACCTTTAGCGATTTATTAAAAAAGCATCGAAATGTGCAAAAATGAAGCCAGTTAGTGAAAAGCAGACGAGACGTTTTCATATTATTACATAAATATATCAGCTTCTATCACCAGATGCTTAGGATAATGTCACAAACTGTAGTCAATTGGAGGAGAGGGTTGAGGATGGGGGGTACAGGATTGAGAATATAAAATGGGAGAAGGGACGGGGTGCGTTGGGAGATGCGGGACGGAGGTTGAGAATAGTGAAAAAAGAGGGGAGGGGGTGGGGGTTGGGTGTTTAGGCCAACCAACGACAGGCTTTGATCAATGAAAGATCAAACCACACCAGGGTATTCACAGAGTATAAACGACGTTTTAGAAATTCATGTATGTCTGTCTTTTTCCTTACAAAATCGAGACGGCAGTACATCAATTGACAACACTTTGCACAGCCGGTTATTTGATCGGTATTTCACGGTTTCTGCATTCTTTTCACACGTCCTAAAGTAGTTAAATAACACTTTAAGGCAGCCCAGGAGCTACCCACATGAGCGCGGGCTATGGTCAAAGAAGACATGTGGAAAGGAGCCTCAGTCTATTCAGAGCCTCCCCACCCCCCTTTCCCCCAACTCTCCTTCCCCAATTATAACACACTTCTCTTTTATCTCCCATTTCCAGGAGCCTCTATAATTACACATACGTCACCGTTTATCAAATGCCCATCCATCTCTACCACTACTCAAAAAGCTTTACTTTAAAAAAAAGGAGAAAGAAATTTTAAAAAAAGGAAAGAAAAGAACACAAGAGTGGAGCCACAGAAAAGCAAGGAAAATGTTT